GGTGGGACTGGAGGCATTTCTGTCGTGCCCTGACTGTGCCTCCCCTCCCTGCTCCCCCCACACCTTGGGGACACCCCTGACTCCCACCCTGACACCCTGGGTGCCCCTCAGTGGGGACAGGGAGGGGTTGGTGGCACCGCAGGAGCCCCTCTCTGTGCCATCCACGAGGTGGCACCTGCGCTTTTTGTCACCACCGCCCACCAGCGCCCAAAGCTGGAGGGGGGCACACATCCTGGGGGGGGGTGAGGGGTGACAAAATTTTTGGGGTCACCCCCTGCCACTTCCACCTCCCTGATCCCCCCAGGGATGCTGCACAACCCCGCCTCCCACGCACTACCTCGGCAGCAGCAGCCCCTGAAGGGACGGAAGGGTCACGTTTCTGCTGAGGGGTCTTTGGGGACTGTCCCCGTGTCCCGCTCCCGTCCCCACAGCACCTACACTGCTGTGCCCATGCCTGGCCCTGTTTCGTGGCTTTCCCAAGACCGGGATGAGTTTCAGTCACACCCTCACCTCCTTCTCCTCCTCTGGGTTTGATGTCAGTTCTGCCGCTGGGGACGTGCCTGTGACACCAGGGGGATGCCACAGGTCACCCCCCGAGTGACTGCAGGGTCACAGTGGCTCCTGAAGGCCCCCTGATGTGACAGCTGGGGGTCCCAGGATGCTGCGATGACAATTTGGGGGTGGGTGCTTCCAGGGTGGTGAGCACTGAGGCCATGTGATACAGGGGGGACAGTTGGGGACACAGGTGGGGAAAAGCCTGGGGGAGCAGGGGAAGGAGGGTCAGAGGGGTAAGGGGTGGAGATGGAGCTGGAGGGGGGGATCCACCCAATAATGTGCCAAAAACAAGGGGAGGACTCCTAAATCTGGGGGAAAGAATGGAAAAGAGAGAAAGGATCCAAACCAGTAGGGGGTAAGGGACCCAAAAGAGGGGGAAATGATCCAAAAGAGGGAGAAAGGACCCAAAATGGGGGGGGGGGGGAACCAAAAATCAGAGGACAAAGGATATCTTGGTGTGTCACAGGGTATCAATGGGTGTCATGGCACATCCCTTCCTGTGCTGGAGCTGGCCCACACACTGTGCCAGGAGCAGCCACAGGAACATCCTGAGCAACACAGTGACACCTCGAGGGACATGGGGACACTCTGCAGGACATGGCCAGGGACCAGCCAGGATCGGGAACAGGGGCTCACAGGGGGCACAGGAAGACACAGAGGGGTGACATGTAGCCGTGGCAGGGGATGGGGGATATTTGGAGGGGAGGGGATCTGATGCCACCAGGACACACATGAGGGGACAATGTTGCCACACCTTTGCAGACACTCCCACCAGGATGCCTCTGGTGACAGGACCACATGACCCCCATGGTGACACTGACTCTTGTCCCCAGGGGCAGTTGGGGTCCCCTGAGTGCTGTGGCCCTGGGACACCCTGGTGGCTGTCACTTGCTTCCAGGCCACTTGTCACCAGCTGAACAAGGTCCCCGTCCCGCCCTGCTGGGTGGTGACATTCGGCTGGGACACTGCGCTGGTGAAACGTCCCTATTCATATCCATGTATCCCTATGTCCCCATTCATGTCCATATCCCCATCCATGTCATTGTGCCCCACATGTCCCCATCCATGCCCATTTTTACCCCATTTTCAGGAGTTTCAAAGGGATGAAGAGAAACCTTTTCATTTCAAGGCCAAAACAAAATGATTTATGTGTCCCTGACAAAGCATCCATGTGCTTGGGCGGTAGGAAGAACCTTTCTGGAGGGGTTTCCATCCTACTGTATCCAAAATCAGAGGTTTTTCCCAAATTCATCCCTGTTTGGCTGTAGAAGGTGCCTGTGGGTCAGAGACAATTAAATGATGGATTTATGTTGGAGAAGACCTGCAAGGCCATCCAGTGTTGTTTGATGCCACCAGAAGCAGCAAAAGGAGATTCTTCTGGGGTCAGAAATCGACAAATCCGCTCTCCACAATGAATGAAGTGTTGGGCTGTGGATGTGTCCAGGTGCCCATGGGGAGCTAGAAGGATGTGGAGCCCCCCAGGCAGGTGACTTCCCAACAGGGATCACTGGCACCATGGATCACCGAGGCTCTGCCCACCGGGGTCACTGGGGATCAGAACCAGTACTCCCACAGGGGATGGAGCTGGAGCAGCACACGAAGCTGTTCCCACACTTGGGGCACTCACAGGGATTTCATAGTGGTGCCTCCATTCGTGTTGGCTCAAGGCTGACCTCTGGCTGAAGCTCTTCCCACACTGGGGACACTCATAGGGCCTCTCCCCAGTGTGGATGCGCTGGTGGGTGACGAGGGTGGAGTTGTGCTTGAAGCCCTTCCCACATTCAGGGCAGCGGAAGGGCCTCTCATCTGTGTGAATGCGCTGATGTACGAGGAGATCTGAGCTGCTTTGAAACCTCTTCCCACACTCCCCACACTCGTAGGGCCGCTCCCCGGTGTGGCTCCTCTGGTGGATCATCAGGTGATCGTTCCGGCTGTAGCTCTTCCCACACTCGGGACACTCGTAAGGCCGTTCCCCTGTGTGGATCCTCTGGTGAAGCATCAGTTCAGAGCTCTGGCTGAATCTCTTCCCACAATGGCCACACTCGTAGGGCTTCTCACCAGTGTGGGTCCTCTTGTGGACAATCAGGTTCGACTTCTGGGTGAATCTCTTCCCACACTCCCCACACTCATAGGGCCTCTCCCCGGTGTGGATGCGCCGGTGCTTGACGAGGTCGGAGTTGTATTTGAAGCCCTTCATGCAGTCAGGGCAGCGGAAGGGCCTCTCGTCTGTGTGAATACGCTGGTTGCTTGAAGCCCTTCCCACATTCAGGGCAGCGGAAGGGCCTCTCATCTGTGTGAATGCGCTGATGTACGAGGAGATCTGAGCTGCTTTGAAACCTCTTCCCACACTCCCCACACTCGTAGGGCCGCTCCCCGGTGTGGCTCCTCTGGTGGATCATCAGGTGATCGTTCCGGCTGTAGCTCTTCCCACACTCGGGACACTCGTAAGGCCGTTCCCCTGTGTGGATCCTCTGGTGAAGCATCAGTTCAGAGCTCTGGCTGAATCTCTTCCCACAATGGCCACACTCGTAGGGCTTCTCACCAGTGTGGGTCCTCTTGTGGACAATCAGGTTCGACTTCTGGGTGAATCTCTTCCCACACTCCCCACACTCATAGGGCCTCTCCCCGGTGTGGATGCGCCGGTGCTTGACGAGGTCGGAGTTGTATTTGAAGCCCTTCATGCAGTCAGGGCAGCGGAAGGGCCTCTCGTCTGTGTGAATACGCTGGTGGACGAGCAGATGGCAGCTTGTTTGAAACCTCTTCCCACATTTGGGACACTCATAGGGCCTCTCATCTGTGTGTGTCCGCTGATGCTTCAGAAGAGTGGAGCTTCTCTGAAAGCTCTTCCCACATTCCCCACACTCATAGGGCCGTTCCCCCGTGTGGCTCCTCTGGTGGTTGATCAGGTCAAAGGTGTCTCTGCAGCTCTTCCCACACTCCCCACACTCATAGCGCCTTTCTCCAGTGTGGATCCTTCGGTGGCGGACCAGGGCTGAGTTTCGGCTGAAGCACTTCCAACATTCCTCACACTGGTAGGGCTTCTCCCCATTCTGAACCTGCTCATGGACCCCCAGCTCCGAGCTCTGGCCGCCATCCCGGCCCAGGGTGGGCCTTTCCTCCTCTGACCTCCCTGGGCTGTGTTTGCAGCCCCTCCTCGTGCGGGATCTCCGGGGATTTTCCTCCCCATTGGACTCCTGTGCTGTGGAGCCACTCAAAACAGCCTCTTCCATGAGATTCTGCTGCGGTGACTCCTCCTCCCTGGTCTCTGCCCTCAGATCCTTCCCTGGGGGAGGAAGGACAAGGAGAGGTTGGGTTTTGCCTCCTTGCCACAGGGAAGGGCAAGGAGATCCCCCCAAAATGTGCTTGGCAGGACAGGGTCAGCAGCGGGGTTGTCCTGCAGCCAGGGGCCCATGCTGGGATGGGAGAAGGAGCAGGAGAGAGGGGGAAAGGGACAGTGAGTTCCTCCTTACCTGCCTGGGGCTTCTGGGCCATTTTCGTCTTCCTCCCAGTCTCCTCTTCCTCTATCCGGCTAAGGTTTAGAAACGGAAAATCCTGCTTTGGGGGTGGGAGGGGGAACAAGGGCTGATTGCGCTGGGTTTGATGGTGCCGCTGCCCAGGTGCAGCTGGAGAAGTCAGCGCCCCTTTCAGCCTCCACGTGTCCGGACCCCGCTCATCCCGAGCCTCCTTCAACCCTCCAAGCTACTGGGGCACCCCAGCTGTGTGATCGCCTCTCTGCGCTCTCCACTCTTCGGGGCTCCCGCCTTCCCCCCGGCTCTGCCTGGGATCCCCAAACCCGATATCGCTCCTCTGCTCGCTGGTACCGGGCAGGTGGGAACCCCCAAGGGTTAATTGTGGCTCAGCTCTGGGGTCCTTGGAGACCCAAATATCCCTTGCCCCACCAAAAAGCCCTCCAGGGGCCCCTCACCGATGGATTTGGGGCGAGCTCCCCCTCCCCGCTCACCTGCGGGTTCCGGGGGGCGATGCAGCAGGAGCCGGGGGAGCCGCGACCGGAGCGGGGGAACCGCGTGGTGTTGGTGCTGCTGCTGCTGCGCTTCCTCTTCCGTCTCTTCCTCCAGTTCCGGCTCCTATTCTTCCCTTTCCTCTTTCTCTGCCCCGCCTCTCCCTCCCGCTCCTGCTCCGCTCCCAGCCCGGCCCGGGCGGTGCCGACACCCAAAAGCAGCCGCGCTCTGCCCTGGGGAGTTCGCAAAGCGGCCCCGCCCAGCGCGGCACTGGGAGCGATACTGGGAGCACCAGGAGGGATCCTGAGAGCAGCGGGATGGAACTGGGAGCGCTTTCCCTGCCAGTGCCGCTCTTACTGGGAGCGCTGGGAGGGAACTGGGAGCAAACAGCGCCCGGATAGGGCTGCAGCCGGCGGACGGCGGGGCCAGCCCGAAAGGCGTGGTTATGTAAATATAGGAGCGATCGCGCGCTGGGATTGGTGGGCGGGAGCAGTGCGGGGGTTTGCTCGGTGACGTCACGGCCGGGGGAGGGGCCGGAACGATGGCGGCGGCGTCCGGTGAGAGGGGATGGGGAGCGGGAACGGGGACAGGGAATACGGGACCGAGACCTGGAATGGGACTGGGAATACAGGAAAAGGGACCGGGAACGGGAGTGGGAATGGGACGGGGATGGGAACCGGGCGAGAGGGACACGGGGAACAGGAGCACTGGGAACCGGGCTGGGGGGGCCGGGGACAGGAGCGACACTGCGGCGAGGGGACACCGGGGACCGGGCCGGGAGAGTTAACGCCTGCAGGGGACGCTGTGCACCTGCACTGCGGGCAGGGGGGACAGCGAGCAGGGGAGACACCAGAACGGGGTAGGGGGGACACGGGGCAGGAGTGACACCGGGGACAGGGAGTCCTGACCGGGGGTTTAACGGAGACAGGCGACACTGTGGACTGGGCGGCGGGGGCAACGGAAGAGAGGAGTGACACCAGACCGAGGGGGACACGGACCAGGGGGTGACACCGAGCAAGGGGGACACCAGGCCGAGGTGACACCGGTGGGTGTCCCCAGAGACCGAGTGGCTGCTGAGTCGTGGTACAGCACGGCCGAGGCTGCCTCAAATAATTCCTCTTGAGCCTCTGTGACACCGGGCCCGTGAAACTCCCGCTGGAGCTTGCCAAGATCATCCTTGTCACCGTGCAGGTGACACTGCCAGGGACAGCGAGCTGGGACAGTGGGGATGGCAGGAGAGGACACTGGGGACGGCAGCACGAGGGGCTGGGATACCAGGAAGGGAGCACTGGGACATGGGGACACTTTGACAGGGACTCTGGGGTGTCCTGGGACAAAGCATTGGCAGCATCACCGTGGTGAGAAAGGGGCTGATGACAGTGGTGGTCTTTGTCCCAAACCATAGGGTGACACTGTTTTGGGGTGAAACACAGTGGTGTCACCAGGGTGGGACAGGGCCTGACCACGGAGGACTTTGTTGCCAAGCATGGGGTGGCACCATTTTGTGACAAAACACACCAGTGTCACCATGACAGAACAGGTGGTGACAGAGGGGGTGGCCTTTGTCCCCAAGCTGTGACACAGTTTTGGGACAAAACACACCAGTGTCACCACGATGGGACAGGTCATGACAGAGGTGGTGGCCTTTGTCCCCAAGCTGATCCTGTTCAGGCTCAGCAACCAGCTGGTGGTGGCCTTCAAGGAGGACAAGACAGTGGCCTTCAAGCACCTGTTCCTCAAAGGCTACAAGGATGGCACTAATGACACCCAGGCCATCTACACCCATGGGGACCTCCTGCAGCACTGACCTGTGTCCTCGAGAAGGTGGCATGGGGACACTGGGAAGGGCTGGGGACATCGTGGGAGTTGGGGACATTGTGGAGCTTGAGGACAAGGGGACCTCCTGGAGCATGTGGCCTATGCCCTTGAGAAGGTGGCACAGGGACACCAGGCAGGATTGGGGACACTGGCAGGGGTTGGGGACACAGTGGTGGTTTGGGGACATGGAGGTTCTCAGGGCTATGGAGGTGAATGGAGACACCAGGGTGATTTGGGGACACTGAGGTACCACAGGGCCACCTCCAGCCCCATGTCCTTGTCCCTACAGTACTTGGCTGTCTCCAACAAGACCCTTGGCCACCACACCTATGGCTGGGGACATGGAGATGTTTTGGCACTATGGGGTGGTTTGGGGCCATCAAGGTGCCCCAGGGCCACCTCCTGCCTTGGTGTCCCTGTCCCTGTAGGTGCAGGGTGCTGGGTTTGAGGTTTGGGGTTTGGCATTTGAGGTATAGGTTTGGGAATTGGGGTTTGGGATGGTCCCAAGGGGTTTGGGATTTAGAAGTTGGGGTTGAGGTTGGGATTTGGGGTTTGGGATGGTCCCAAGGGGTTTGGGGTTTACAGTTTGACACTTGGGGTTTGGGATGGTCTCAGGGTGTTTGGGGTTTGCGATTCAGGCCTTCAGATGGTCTCAGGGGATTTGGGAGGGTCCCAGGTGATTTGGGAGCTGGGATTTGGGTTTAGGGTTTGGATTTGAGGTGCAGGGTTTGAGATGATCTCTGGGCATTTGGGATTTGGGATGGTCCCAGGGCATTTGGGATTCAGGATTTGGGAAGTCCCAGGGGCTTTGGGCTCCCGGCATTCCCTGACCCCAATCCCGACCCCACAGAGATCCTGGGAGTGCACCCTGGGGACCCCCAGCTGCAGGTGCTGGATGGCACTAATGGCAACTTCACCCTCCAATTCCACAGATAAATCCCAACCCCCCCCAAATTCTTGATAATCCCACTTATGGGTAGTGTCCCCCCCACTGTCGGTCACTTCGGGGCTGCCCCCCCGCTGTTTGCCGACCCGGGGCTGGCCGGGGTTCACTGGGAGGCACCCAGAGAGACGGAGACAGTTCACTTTTCCCAGATTTCTGTGTGGCATTTTGGGTGGAATTTTCCCTTTCCCGTGGTTATTTCTGGGATTTTGGGAACTCCTGGGAGTTTTCTGGGAGGGATTTCAGGTGGAATTTTCCATTCCCATTGGGTTTTTGAGGAGGAATTTTTCCTTTTCCCATTGTTTACTTGGGATTTTGGGGTGGATTTTTCCTTTTTTGGGGGGCTTTTGGGGTGGAAATTTTCCTGGTGGGCTTTTTTTTTGGTTCTTTGAGAATTCTTGGGTTTTTTTTTTGATTTTGGGGCCTCCTGGGTGTCACAATCCGCTCATACAAATGGGGGTCGTGATGATTAGCTGATCTCAGAGTGCAAAAAACAACACAGAGAGTATCAATCCAAAAAACTGCACCTTTTATTGAGCGCCCCCACAGCAAATGCAATAGAGGGATTTAGAAAGGAAATTAAGGATAAAGAGAGAGAGAGAGAGAGAGAGAGAGAGAGAGAGTGAGAAAGAGGAAAGGGTATAGCTACCAACCTAGGGACAAAATCCTCCATGGCACGGGGAGAATTGTCTCGTCAGGGAGAATCTCAAAAGTCCTGGTTAACTCAGGGGTGTATTATAGTCCTTTGCATGAGGGGGCAGCAAGTAACAAAGAATAAGTCTGTTGAAATTGCTGAGGGGGAACAGATACAGTGAAGTAAAAGGGTACTGAAGCCATCAAGGGGGGAACAGGTACAGATAGTCCATGTTCTCAGCAGTGAGCGGGACCCATTGTTTACTTGGTCCAGCAAACACACCTGCAGGCAACACTTGGCTCACTTCAGTCTGGTCAGTGCCCCTGTGTCAGAATTATAGGGGTCTCAGTCCTCAGGAGGGGGCTTCAATCTCCCTTCATCATGGTGGTAGTGAAGCAGATGAAGGATTTTCCATGGGGGCTTCCAAAGTTGCCCCAGCACGTTCATCTGGCCAAGAGGTGGGAAAACTCCTGGGCTGTTGTCGCGAAGCAGGTGTAAGCACATAGGGCACGTCTGCCCCTTAACCAGGCCCTGCTAGAAGCACTAGACACAGCTGTGAATAATCACTTGGCAGGCCAGAACTCTGCCCAGGGGACACAGGGTCCCGGTCTCTGTCCTTGGGACGGTCATGAGGTAAATGAGGGGAACTTCACACACATCACCCGGTGACTCATGACAGTCTTCAAAGGGTCTTCATCAGCAGGGTTCCATAGTGTCGCTGGGAAGTCTTCAGGACTTGTTGAATGTTGGTAACATTCCAGGAAAACAGAGACAGTATGTAGAGAGAGAGAAAAGAAGGAAAAGAAAAGATAGAAAAGGGGAAAAAGGAAACAATAAGGAAATACAATTAATATTAATTAAACAATATTATTTTAAAACAATTTTTTTCAAATGATCAAATCACAAATAATCAAAGGCAACAAAGCAATAAACAAATACAATAAGTATTAATTTAAAATAATTTTTCAAAACAAATAACCAAAAATCAAAAATAATTTTCACACAATCACAAAAGAGAATTAAAGATTATTTCAAAACACATACTCTAATTTATAATGGCCTTGTGTCAACAGCCTTGGGGATGTCCACAGTGAAGAGGACATCAGCCAAGTTGTGTGCATTAATTATAGACTTGAATTTTGTTAACCGTTTCATCATTCTCCAATTCATAACAAACAAGATTGCTGATAAAATAAAACCAATCAAAACTAGAATCAAAAGGATAACGATGGGATGACACATACTGTTCAGGACACTTGTAGCAGCTGGTGACCACCCAAAAAGAGCATCCCACCACCTGTGCTCGGCATCTTTCTTTACTCTTTCCATGACACGGTGTATTTGTGTCACATTATGATGAACAGTTACCAGGGTTTTCTGTCTGTTCTTGATCTTTCCCAAAATTTCAATTAAGTCTTGATGGAGCAACAATTGCCTTCCCAAAGTGAGGTTCATCCCAATGGGAATAGGCATCAGTTTGTGAATCAGTGTGTAGTTGGATTGTAAAAGGTAATGAGAGGTAACTGGAACTTCATAAGAAAAATCACATCCTGCAATCTTAGTAAAGTTACAAGCACAAAAATTTGAATGATTTTTAGTATCCACTACTACATTTTCTACGAATACAATATCACAAGCAGTTCTAAAGCATGCACACCCATTGCCTATGTATATAGGGACTGTTTTAGAAGTCTCGTTAGGATGAATTTCAAAGTGACAGATATTTTGCTCTGTGTCCAAACAAATGTCTTGAGCTATGATTTCATTGCTTTCACAGATGAACCTTTGTTGTTCTTGGACAATACAAGATTCCAAATTAACAGTTTGCCATTTTTCACCAATTTGACAGGCCCGTTCCCTATGCTTGGAAGGATAGAGAAGAGGTCCATCATGATTCAGCCCTAATGCAATAATAGGAAATATCAAATGCACTGAGGCATTACGTATGGTTAACACAAAAGCTGTGGCTGAGTTTGAAATGGGGTCATAAGTAAAATTCACCAAGTTCCACCAGGACTGGAATTCTCTTTCAAAGTCTCTGTCCCAAATTAGTTTCCGAATTTCAGTAGGAAAAGTGCCTTCTTCACCTTCTCTTATAATTGAGGCAGCAACTGTCTCCATCCACAATTGTGCCTGGATACAGCTGAGAGCCAAAGAAACGTTGTTTTGTGTAGCACCGAGTGCATCAATTACCAATTTGTGATCATTTACATTTACCTTCTCCCAATTTGGTAAAATGTTTGATAGCAACTACTGGTGTGTTCCCAAAGCCAATAAGGATGACTGCAGTGGTTGTTGTAATTTGGTCAAATCTTTAGTTGTGGCAGCCAGTTTATTCATTAGTACTTCTGAATCAATACTATTTAGAATTCCCAAACCTGTTGCCACAAGACCGGTTATGTCTCTTGGCATCCGTTTTTTAGAAGAGCTCCATTTTCGCAGCCAGGTCGTCCAACCCTCAAAGGAAGTCTGCAAGAAAGGTGAACAGGCCAGCTGAATTTCTGATACATTGCTTTGCATCAGCAATTTGACTTGTTTAGGAGACCGTGCTGGATTGAACAATATTTGTTGTTGACCAGTTTTCCTGATTATATATAATCCAATTTCAAAAATTCTTGGGCAGAGCATGACCAGTGATTGGGCTGTAGTGGTCATAGTAGAAAACTGGGTCATAGCATTTATTACAAATTTGAAAGAAAGGCCTTTTTTAGACCAAAGACAAACTACTTCTGCGGTTTGTGTTAATGTAAAACTGCCAACAGTCTTGTACGCTTGGGTGGTACAAAGCTGTTCATGCTTATTTGCCTGATCTGTTGAAAGACTGATTGAGATTGCCTTACTATAGGTAGTTCCGTTAATCATTTGGCATCCTATGCTAATTTCTTCTCCCACTACCCCTTGAAGCTTCCAGGCTTTTTGTTTTTCCCATTCCTGCCTAGTGTTGATTTCAATATCTGATTTTCATGCATAACAACAGTTGATAGGTTTAAACCCTTTACATCTCCCATGGATCTGGTAAAGTGAACAAAAGCCTGGGACCAAGGCCATTCGGTAACATACTGCCTAAGGGGGCTCTCAGTCCCTTCTATCCACCGGGATGTAACTACGGTACTCAGTGTGGGTTTTGTTATAGCAGTTATCTTAAATTTATAAACTAAGCCTTTTAAACCTAACAGGTCACTCGAGTTATTTTGCCAGCGGCATGTCACATAAGTTGGTTAGCTAAAGTGAAATTATGCCAGCAATCAGTTGGTTAATTTTTACAGTCCTTTGTAATTGCAACGTTGTTAGTTTTGGGACCTAGAGTGTAATTACCAACATACTCCAGAACAGGTTGTCCAGGGTGATGTGCTGGATTTTTTGAATCATCGGGTCCCCGTAGTGAGGGAATGATGCTTGGAGGTGTCAGGCGAAAGGCGGTGATTTTGGGACATCCATTTGCCTCCCATCTACTGTTCACTCCTTTAACAGCTTCCCATAACCGAACATCCCAATTTCCCTCCTGTGGCTTCAGAAATCATTTCAAAAGACCATTGGTCCTTTCTACAATCCCATTAGCTTGAGGGTAGTAAGGGGTGTGGAAAGTCCACTTAATTCCTTCACCTTTTGCCCAATCCTGTACAACTAGCAGTGAAGTGGGACCCGTTGTCAGATTGAATTTCCTGTGGCTTTGGGAAAGTTCCAAACCACCCCTGCAAAGCTTTAACCTTATTATCACCTGCAGCTCTTTTAAAAGCATCAGCTCGAACCAACCCAGATAGAATTCCTACTCCTACTAGCACAAAGTGTTTACCTCCTGACTTCTTAAAGGGACTGATACAATCTACCTGCCATGCATCCCATAAGCCTTTACCCTTTTTTAAATGCAGAGGGTCATCTTCTAAAGGATGTCTCTCCAGTTGCCTGCGACATTGCTCGCAGGCTGATATGCATGTTTTACACATTTCCCTGGTAAGGGGCCAGCCCCAAGCATGAGCTTCCTTGTCCAAATCTTTTGCACCTGTGTGCTGTCTTTTTACCTGCAGCCATTCTAATACTCGATCCCAGTTCTCAGAAATTAGTTCCTTTTTCAGGGGGCTGAGCCTTGCTAGTTCATCAGCTCTATTCCACTTTCCTGCTGGATTTCCATCTCTTTGGTGAGAAGCTACCCAACCAACAGCAAAATTTCCTTGACTTGCAATATCTAAAATTTTCTGCCACTTCTCCTTTTACCACACTGGAATTCTGTTAACTTCCCAATCATTTTGCTGCCAGAAAGGAAGACACTCAGTACAACCTTTGTACACTGCAGAAGAGTCAGTATAAATGCAGACAAGAGAAATGTTCTGTGCCTCATGTTGGAAAACACTCTAAACAGCGATGAGTTCCCCCAACGTGAGTGCTGCCTTCCCCTTCG